CAGCAGCATCCCCTGACACCCCCCGGCCCAGTGCCCCTCACCTGGGTGTCCGCCACGTCCTGCTCACCCACGTGGGAGAGCAGGGAGCTGATGCCAGCCTGGCCGAAACCCAGGGATCCACGGTAGTTCACTGGGGAGATGGGGGCTATAGGTGCCACATCCCCAGTGGCGCACGGGGGCCACACGTCCCTGGGCTCCCCGGCACTCACCCAGGAGCACGGCAAAGCCCAGCCGGCACAGCGCGGCCATGCTCGGGCGCCAGCGGGCGTCGAAGACGGCGTGGGGTCCACCTGGGGCCGGTGGGGACGTCACCTGGGGTGCCACCAGTGCTGCCACGGTGTCCCCGCCGTCTCCTCACTCACCGTGGGGGCACACGACGAGGGGATGCGGTGCTGTGCCGTCCTTCGGGCTCAGCAGCAGGGCTTCAAAGGCCTGGGCACCTGCGCCAGGGAAAGGGTCCCACTCAGCACCCACCACCCTAGGCACCTGGCACCCTGCCCACCCCCCGCACCCAAGGGCCCCCAGCACCCAGGCGGCACCCAGGTGCAGTGGGGGCCCCTGGGCGCTCACCGTGTGCGGCGGGGCTCTGCCCGCTGCAGAGTGGATGGACTGTCAGGGTCTTCCAGGTGACACCGGGCACCGTTGGGGCATCCTCCACTGGCACCCAGCGGAGGGGCAGCTCCCGGCCCGCCGGCAGCAGCACCGCCACCACCTGGGGATGGGCAGTGGGTGGCACCGGGGCACCCCTGCCCCAGGGCAGCCGGCCCCTGCCAGCATGTAATCAGCCACAACGTGCCTAGGGTCCCGGCGCTCTGTGGCGCTGTGCCATCCTGTGCCTTGCATGGATGTGCCATGCCGTGCTGTCCTTGGCCATGCCATGCTGTACCTAGCCCTGCCATGCTGTGCCCAGTTGTGCCATGCCATGCTGCACTATGCCTGGCCATGCCAAGCTCTGCTGTGCCTTGCCACACTGTGCCATGCAATGCCATGCTGGATCTGGCTGTGCCGTGCCACACTATCCTGAGCTGTGCCTGGCTGTGTCATGCCATACCACACCGTTGTGCCACACCACAATTCGTCATGCCATGCTGTACCGTGCCATGCTGTGCTATGCCTGCCTGCACATTGCTGTGCCATATCGCGCTGTGCCGTGCGGTGCCAGGGCTCTGCTCACCAGGCTTGGGGGGCGGTGGGGGGCTGAGCAGGTGGCCACCAGCAGGTCCCACTGGAGGGTGAGCAGTTCCCAGCACCCTTCTGGTGACCCTGGGGACAGAGAGCACGGTGGCGCTCATGGATGCTCACCGGGGCACCGCGGGCAGCCGGGTGCCGCATACCTGCCGTCAGGTTGGTGACGGTGGCCGCCTCTGTGTCCACGAGCAGCAGGTCCTGCGAGGGGGCAGAGCACAGGCAGCTGTGTCACCACAGGGTGGGGGGGGCCACATCCCCATCCCCTGTCCCCAGGGCTCACCGTGCGGCTCCGCTGCGGGGTGCCCAGCACGGCTCGCCGGCTGTCAGCTGCCCAGCACCGTGGTGGCAGTGCCTCCCCGTAGAGCCCGGTGAAGGCTGCGAGCAGGACAGAATGCTGGTGAGCAGGGGTCACGGGCACCTGGCATGGGGAGAGGTCCCAGCCCCCTGGCAGTGCCCAGCCCTGCCTACCCGCCATGCCACACTCACCCTCCGTGGACTCCTGCACCACGTCAAGCACCGTCACCGTCTGCCTCGTCTGCCAGGTGAGCTGGGGAGAGCCGGCGGTCAGGGACATGCCCCACCGGGGAAACTGAGGCAGGGGGATAGGGGGCCGAGCCCATTCCCCACCCTGGCCGGGCACTGTGAGAGGCTGTGACATTGTGGACTGGGTCCCACGCCAGCGGCACAGCCATGCCCGGTGCCCGCAGGGCCCTGCTCACCATGTGCAGGCGCAGGCACTGCCGGTGGGGCCCCCCCAGACCCCCCTCCAGGTAGAGCAGGCGCCGGCCGTCGGGGCTGAGCCGTGGGGAGCAGGCGGCACCATGCTCAGCTGACAGCAGCTCTGTGGGCAGCAGGGGTCAGCGCCCCGGGGGACCCCTGGGACTCAGGGAACCCCCCTGCCTTCCCGGTGCTCACCGCAGCGCCCACCGGCCAGGTCCAAGTAGAAAATCCCCGACCTGGGGAGGAGGCATGGGTCAGGCTTGGAACCCTGCAACCGTGCGGAGCCACGCTGGCATGGGGCGGGCATCCTGGCACAGCGCTGCGTGCCGGAGGGTACCCACCTCCTGTTGGAGCAGGCGCTTAGCCCCAGGCGGAAGGGCTCGTGCCACCAGCCCACGAACACCACGCCGCGGTCATCCGGGGACCACAGGGCCTGTGCGACAGCTGGGCTCATCCCACAGCCCCATGCTGGCCCCCTCGGGGCTCCCCCCTGCACCCCATCCTGACCTGGCCAGGGGAGAGGTGCTCCGGGACGCCCTCCAGCACCGAGAGGCTGCTGCCCTCCAGGTCCAGGGCGCAGAGGACGGGCACGCTGCGGGTACTCAGCGCCTCCCCCCAGTCCTCATGGTACACGAACTGCTCGCCCTGCGGCACGGCCCCGTCAGCCCCACGGCCGGCGGTGCCAGACATGGGGGCTCTGCGCACGGCATGCTCATGGGGTGCGTGGCACGCTTATGGGGTGCACGGCGTGCCGACGGGGCACGTGCCACGCTCACAGGGTGCACGGCACGCTCATGCAGCACACTTACGGGGCACACAACACACTCGTGGGGTGCACAGCATGCTCATGGGGCACATGGCACCCACCTCCTCCTCCTCGTCCTCCTCCGCCGGCCTGGCTGCTCCCGGCACATCCCAGGGGCAGGGGGGCCGCGGTTTGGGCCGGCACTTCTCGGCCACGTAGAGCAGCCGAGTCTCCGAGCGGGACCAGGCCAGACAGGCGAAGGGCCCTGGCACGGTAAGAGGGTGCCAAAGCCCAGCCTGGCACAGGCACAGCTGGGCACTGGGGCCACCAGCTGTGCCACCCTCGCCTGTGTCACGGGCAGGGGACATGGGGCAGGGGTCCTACCCTCCGTGTAGACCTCCCCGTGCTTCCCCAGCGCCGTGAGGTCCACACTGTGGCTGCGCCCGCTGCTGCCCCACACCTGGGGGGGACAGGGGTCAGCACCGGCACACCATGGCCGTGGCGCCTGGCACTGGCACTCCAGCTGCCCCGGTGAGCCCCGAGGCTGCCGTGACAGG